CCTTCAGATCATCCCAACTGATCTTGGTGTGCAAGTCGTTGGCTACCACTCCGTACTTGGACAACAGGTTTTCCAACCAAGCCTGACACGCGCCCTCTGAGCGAGAGTACAAGTATGCATGGTGCTTGAGTTCCTTGACGTTGTGGAGCTGCAGCGTGAGCTCGAACTTGCGAAACCATGGAATCGGATCTGTCTTCATTGAGTCGCAGAAGATCTCTTGCCTGTCGAACTTTGGAGTTGTCTCGCGCGGTTTTGAACTCGAGGTGGTGGCGCTAGTGCAGATCCGTTGTTGCAACTGTTGCGTCGCGGTCTGCTGTAATTGCGCGCCATCCTTGAGTGAGCCGACGTCCATCTCCAATGCATTGAGGCGGTCGGCTGTGTTGGAAGAGCTAGCGTCGGCGGCGGCGACTGGTCGCTGCTCCAACCGCTGAAGGCGGTCGTGGACGTGAGCGAGCGAGACCAATGATCTCTGCCTGCTGTGTAATACAGGTTGCCAGGAGATCCGTGAGATGCGAGAGGAGGAGCGCTATCTTGTTTGCGCTATCCTCCAACTGGCTATTCTCGGCCTCGGTCCGCCATTCCGCTGCCATGGTAAGTAACGCCCGCTCTCCGGTAAATATCTTCTCACGATCTCTGGACTCTTTCCTCATCGACAGCCCTTGCTGCTGCCTCGTCATGCTGGCGCTGTTGTTCAAGTGCCAGCAGACGTGCCTGCTCGACATCTTCTGCCTTCTTCTTCGCTGCTGCTGCAGCGTCATCTGCCCGTTTCTTAGTCTCGGTACTCCAGGCCAGCATGCGGGCTTGATGGCCTCGTTTGCTTCCCCGGGCCTCTGGTCCATGACTGCTGTTTGAGATCGCAACAGCATAGACCGGGCGGGGGCCTGTTGATGTGGTATCCCTTGCTGCTGACGTGGCACTGCTGACGTGTCCTGCTGACGTGGTCTGCTGACGTGGCAACTCACCAATGCCGTCGCAGGGGGTACCCGTATACCAACAGAAACGGAAAGGCGAGAGATGGCAACAACATAGGTGGGGAGGGGTGGGTGGGATAATCGCCCGACCAATCACTTAGATAAGGAGCCACTAATCGAACAAGAAAAGTTTGAACTTTGCAAAAAATTTCGAGAAAAATAAAAAATCCCGATTTTTGCAAGTTCGGTAGGTCTCCCAACCTCCCTTGAAATGCGAAATGATCACTGAAAGAAAAATTTCTACTTTAGACTGCCAGTGATTTATAGAACTGAACAACAGAATCCCAGAACTGCGAAAAAAATTCTGAACCGAAATGACAAATATTCGAATTTATTTCGATGAGAATATTCGCAGTTTGGAAAATAATACTGTAGGAGGTATTTCCTGTACCGAAAACGAATTTCAGAAAAGAAAATATTTCGAATTTCTAAGTAACGGGAAATGCAACAGGAAATCGAATTTTTTTGAAAAGAAAAATATTCCGGATTTTCAACAGCGAAATTTCAAATTTTCAGAAGAAAAAATGAAAATGGGAATTTCAGATGTTGCGATTTTGCGATTTTCCACAACAGAATAGCGAGAAAATAAAATCCAAGAAAAGAAAAAAAATTCGATTTTCGGTAGTGAGGTCAAGATCGTGATTTTGGGGTCTAACTAGTATGTCCTAATCAACCAATAAAGACTAACTAGCTTTTTGGTCCCCGCACAYGTGTCAGATCAGGGTGTCCTGATTCACGTGCAGAMGCTCCGATRCCAACTGWTACATGCRMAGATATGCCATGTACGTAATAACCGAGGATCTGCAATGTGATGAAAAGGACAGAATGGACAATG